TTTGTAAAGATTAACATTTTTAAAAACAGAAGTATTAACATATTGTTTTCGTTTGTTTCCATTTTGGTTTGTTTTCACCAAAAAGATTCATCTGTAAAACATATAAAGACCTTAGTAATGGAAACCTATGTCTTACACTAATAATTTGTTCACATTAATTTGCTAAAATACTTGAAAAAAACATTCATATGCACCTCACCTGTATCTGGTATTTTTGTTTTCACTGCAAGTTCTCCATAAAATTTAGTAAATAATTCTCCAATTTTAAAGTCGTCCATAAGTCTAGAACTTCTCAAAGTCTGAAGTAACTAAAAGAATACAAATAGCATTTTCTAAAGAGAAAACTAAAGAAAAGGCTTTCTGTAGCTCAGTGCACCTGTACACAGCAAAGTTTCAGAATCAGGTATCTCTTGGGGATTTATACCTAGCCTCTCAAAACTCTTATCCACCCAGATTATTTGGAAGTTGGGGTTTAAGTGGGTGGTGGGAGAACACAAGGGGAAGGGTGATCTAGACTTAATTTTACCTTCCTAAGAAACCAATAACATGACTAGAACCATTCTCCCACAGGCACTCAAGACCAAGGACCAACGACTTGAAGGAATTCTAAAATACAGATGCAAAAGGAAACAGAGACATGGATGAGAGAGAGCCCCAATGACAACTTAAATGCAACATGCAGACCCACTCCCACTGCTGAGGCTTCAGGAAAAAACTGAGAAGCAAGGTAATCTTTTGGCAATTTCTAATAGCATTAGGTTTTGCCAAAAGCAGTAAGGGTGATAAATGGAAGAGCAGCAAATGCCTTAGTTATTTTTCCCCTTCATTTCCCTCACAACACAAAATTCTTCTTTTACCATCCAGAAGGGTCTAAGAACAAAATACAAGGGTATTGTCAGGTAATGGTTGGAAAATGTGTTATCTTAACCACACATCAATATGATTTGATCCTATCCTCCCCCAAAACTCCAATTTTCTGCTTTATAAATTATAGCTCTAATATAAAATACATGGACTCAAATAATATAAAACTACCTTAATAAGAAGATCCAGGGCCGGAATTTTACATTTAGCAGCTCTATCTTTCGTATAAACACTGGTACAAGTATTCTAGGTTTTAAAAGGAGACATATCAAAATCATCAATAAAATATAAAAACTAAGTCTCAATTATAGCTAAAACTACATCTGAGAGAAGCAATACCAACATATGACATAATAAAATTTAGTATCTAGCTATTAAAAGTATAACATCAGACTATATAAATGTACAGATTAAAAATTATTAAAAACATTGATACAATATGCCAAGGTAAGAATAGTAACAAGAACCAAAAAATCATGGTGGGTCATGCCAGTAATCCCAGCATTTTGGGAGGCCAAGGTGGGAGGATTACTTGAGGCCAGGAGTTTAAGACTAACCTGGGCAACAGAGTGAGACACCATCTCTACAAATAAAAAAAATTTAAAAATTAGCTGGGTGTGGTGGTACGTACCGCTAATTCTAACAACTTGGGAGGCTTAGGTAGGAACATAGCTTGAGCCAGGAATTTGAGGCTGTAGTAAGCTATGATTGTGCCACTGCACTCCAGCCTAGGTGACAGGGTGGGAAGGAACAGCCCACTTCATTTGTAACACAATCAAGTATACATAAGAAAACTCCCCAATAAGAAAGGCATAAATAAAATAAAAACCCAAGTGCCTTATACCATAAGATAAACTAGATACTGATATAGCATGAGGTATGTTTTTTCCACTTTACCTTAATATCAAGAGAGTAAGGCTCGATCTGCTGGCCAATTTTTTCTAAGAAAATACATAAAAACTTTAGGATTTCTTCTCTACAGTCACGAAACTATAACAAAACAGATACACATAGTCAATAATATGGGTAAGAGTAAACCACTCCAACATAAAGGAATATACGAGAAAAGCAAGATGAAAATTTTCAACTTACTTCATCAATGCCAAGGGATTTCCGAACAAAGACAAGCAACCCAAAATCTCTGGAAAAAACTAAGGAAGTCTGTAATGCTGAACAACAACAAAAACAAGTTAATAGAGTGCCAAGACAAATTTCATAAACCACCCTTAAAAGAGGTGCTTGATTTTCAAGGCAGTCTTCTAAGTGATAAAACACTATCTTTAAGGCTGCTGTATTAAAATATGAAAAGCCTAAAATTCTAAGCAATGTTCCACAGGGAAATGGTTGGGAGAATTGCCCCCAAAGATGCTAGTGCCCTAATCCCTGATGTCACACCTGTGAATATGTCAACTTTACATAGCAAAAGGAAATTTTTTTTTTTGAGACAAGAGTCTCACTATGTTGTCCTGATGCTAGCGCAGTGGCATCAGCCTAGTTCACAGGAACCTCAAACTCCTGGGCTCAAGTGATCCTCCTGCCTCAGCCTTCTGAGCATGCCCGGTTAATTTTCTATATATACTTTTAGTTGTCCAGCTAATTTCTTTCTACGTTTTTAGTAGAGACAGTGTTTCGCTCTTGCTCAGGCTGGTCTCGAACTCCTGAGCTAGAATGATCGGCCTGCCTCGGCCTCCCAGAGTGCTAGCTGAGCCACCATACCAGACCAGCAAAAGGAAAGAAATTAAGGTTGCAGATGGAATTAAGGTTGCCAATCAGCTGACCTCAAAATGGAGAGATCATACTGGATCATCCAGAGCAACTGTCCTCAAACTACCGCCCGCGGGCCACATGTGGGTGTTTTTGCCCATTTGTTTTTTTTTTTTGAGACAGTCTCGCTTTGTTGTCCAGGCTAGAGTGAGTGCCGTGGCATCAGCCTAGCTCACAGCAACCTCAAACTCCTGGGCTCCAGCGATCCTTCTGCCTCAGCCTCCTGAGTAGCTGGGACTACAGGCATGCGCCACCATGCCCGGCTAATTTTTCCTATATATATCAGTTGGCCAATTAACTTCTTTCTATTTATAGTAGAGACGGGGGTCCCGCTCTTGCTCAGGCTGGTTTTGAACTCCTGACCTTGAGCAATCCGCCCGCCTCGGCCTCCCAGAGAGCTAGGATTACAGGCCTGCCCATTTGTTTTTTTACTTCAAAATAAGATATGTGTAGTGTGCGTAGGAATTTGTTCATAGTTTTTTTAAACTATAGTCCGGCCCTCCAACGGTCTGAGGGACAGTGAACTGTCCCCCTGTTTAAAAAGTTTGAGAACCCCTGATCCAGAGCATACAAACGTAATCACATGGGCCCTTAAAAGGTGGGGCTGGAAGAAGAGTCAGAGATGGGAAAATAGGAAAGGAGATTCCAAACCTCTCATGAGAGGGCTTGGCTTTGAAGATGGAGGAAGGGACTGTCACCCAAGAAAAGTAGACAGCTTCTAGAAGCAAGGCACATCAGCACAGAAACAGGGACCTCAGTCCTAAAATTAAGGAGATGGATTCCCCTCCTAGAGCCTTCAGAAAGGAAAACAGCCCTGCACTGATACTTTGGTACTAGCTTGCTAAGACCCCTTCTGACTAAAGAACTATAAGATTAACAAACCTGGGTTGTTTTAAAACACTAAGTTTGTGGTAAATGCTACAGCAGCAAGAGGAAACTAATACACTCCCCTATAATCTTTCAAGTGAAACGACAAATATTGTATTGAGAGTACACCTGGAACTGCTTTAGAAACAAGTTGCCCAATGAACAAAAATGAATTCTAACTTTGAAACCCTAAAGACAGAAAGCAACGTTATTTCTATTCTGCACTGACTTCTTAGGAAGAAAACCTCACCTAGCCATATTAAGAGGGCACACCCTCCAGAGGAGGTGTTCTAAAAAAGGAATACAAGTCTTTTCGCACAATGAAATGTTTGAATTTTAAAATGCTGAAAATCGGCACTTTTACTACAAAGAGAAAAAATTCCCATCCAAGCATTGCTAAACAGTTAAAAAAGAACATCATGATTTTTAAGTTATATTTCTGCAATTCTTCACAAAGTAGGAACAGCGAATATAAGAGTTTGGAAAAGATACTGGTGGTAGGTTTAGGTGAAAGAAAATACTTTCTCTTGTCCTCTTCCCCCATTTTGGACAGCAATGATTGCCAAATTTGGGGTAATTTTCACCAACTTTGGTTTTAAAACACCTTTTCTCTAATGCTAGGAGGAAAAAGGCAGTATGACAAATCACTTATTATACACATCCAGACACTTCCCCAAGATCTAACCGCTGGACTTCAAAACACTGTTAACTACGCCCACGGAGGAGTCACGCCGGGTGCCGGGCCCCACGACCCAGACAGCCGGGAGGTACCCACCCAGCACCGCGGGGCTGGTGCTCAGCACGCACTGCTGCCCCAGGCCGCGGATCAGCTGATAACCGGCGGAGGCCGCGCCGCCCGGGTCGGCGGAGGACAGGCATTCCTGCAGCTGCCGCAGGCCGCCCTGCACGCCCGCGCCGGAGCCCGCCATGACTGCGAACCCGCCGCGCCTGCGCTCTCGGCCCGGCCGGAAGTGCCGCGGAGCGCGTAGGCGGGGGCGCGCGGCGGGCTCGCGCGGCGGGAACGGTCCACGGGCGCTCGCGGGGGGACCTCCCTGGGGACTGGCGGGCTTGTGAATGTGGCACACACACCCTCAGCGTGCACACGCCAACACGCCAGGAGAAACGAATGCCACGACTTGACCGCGGAAGCAGGGAGCGAGCTGGGCTGGGCTGGGCTGAACGCCGGAGGCAGCAAAAACAAGCCGGGGCCTGAGGCAAGATCCACGAGCTGTTCCTCGATGAAGAGTGAAAGATGTATTTGAAATGTCTTTAGAAATAAAAAGAATGCCCAAGGGGTAGAGAGTGTGTTCTCACTCAGTGCTGCACTGAGGAACACACCTCCGAGAAGATGGTTCGGTCCGACCCCAGATTTCCCGCGAAAATGCGGCCGCGTGGGGACCTGGTCCCCCCCCGGCGGCGCGCAGTGGAGCCTCCCAGGGGCGGAGCCACGTGCGAGCGCCGCTGTGATTGGTGAGGCGCCTCCGGGGGCGGTGTCGACCGTGCCGCTGGCGGGAACCTTCGGTTCCGCCTGTGCAGCCCCGGAGCGCGCGCCGCCAGGTGCACCGCAGCCCGCGGGCGTCGGCAGGAGGCCGCTTTTCCCGGTAACCGCGCGGCGGAGAGGGCGCGGGGGGGGCGGGGCCGGGCGGAGGACGCGGCGCGAGCCTGTTGTCGTCTCGCAGGTAGCCGAGCACCATGTCGTCCCCCGCATCGACCCCGAGCCGCCGCGGCAGCCGCCGCGGACGGGCCACCGCCGCCCAGACGCGTGAGTGCCCCACCCCTCGCCCCGGCCCCGTGCTTCGGCCGCCCGGCGGCTGGCGCGGACCCCGCGCGGGCGCGCTGGCCGCTCCTCCCCGCCTCGGCCGGTGTGCTGCGTAGTCCGCGGGCACAACGTGCCTGCCCGCTTGCCGCGGTCGGGTCGCGTCGCGTCGGGTCGGGTGTGTTCGGTGCAGATCGCACTGCCTCACGGGACGGACAGAGCCAGGCAGGCCGAACACGGTTGATAGCGGCTTTTCTGTTCGCCGTGACTCAGCTCGAAGCGAGGACGCCAGGTCGCCTCCGTCTCAGAAACGCAGGGGCGAGGACTCCACCTCCACCGGAGAGCTGCAGCCCCTGCCCACCTCGCCGGGAGCGGACGCGCAGAGCCCAGCTGCGCAGGACGCCTTGTTCTCCAGCCCTCCCCAGATGCGCCCCTCAGGTGCGTTTCTGAACACCTGGGTTGTGTGTGGTTGTACACAGCTGGTGCTTCAGCGGGCCAGTGTTCTGGTTTGAGGATGGTGGTTTCCATACGCCTAAAGCATGCATCCCCTCTGTGCCCGGGTGAGTGTGTTCTTCACAAAGCTGGGGAAGGGGCGCAGAGAACACACAGCACGCAGTGAGGACTTGGTGAGCAGGACTGCAGCGTTTCTTTTGCTTTTTTTCCACAGAGCATTTAGTAGCCCTCAGAATCTTCAACCACCACAGGTTGCAATGAATGCTGCTTGCTACTGCAAATAGACGACAGATCCAGATCCACAGACAGTGTGCTATGGTTTCAGGTTTGATATGCCTCCAAGGTTTCATTGTAAACTCTTGAATTTTGTTTTTACAGCTATTCCTCTTGACTTTGATGTTAGTTCACCGCTGACCTATGGCACTCCCAGCTCTAGGGCAGAGGGCACCCCGAGGAGTGGTGTTAGGGGCACGCCTGTGAGGCAGAGGCCTGACCTGGGCTCTGTGCGGAAGAGCCTGCAGGTGGATCTGCAGTCTGATGGGGTGAGTTCACAGCACGTGCAGTCTTCTGATAGCACCATTTGGGAACATCAAATGGGTAAATCCCATGGACGTGATTCTATCATATTTTTCTGTGTAGGCAGTAGCAGAAGACATAGTGGCCAGTGAGCAGTCTCTAGGCCAAAAACTTGTGATCTGGGGAACGGATGTAAATGTGGCAACATGCAAAGAAAATTTTCAGGTGAGGTGTATGTGTTAAAATTCATCCTTTAGTGCAGCAGTCCCAATCTTTTTGGCACCAGGGACTATTGTCATGGAAGACAATTTTTCCACAGACAGGGGAGGGGGGTGGTTTTGGGATGATTCAAGCACATTACACTTATTGTGCACTTTATTTCTATTAATATTACATTGTAATACTTAATGAAATAATTATACAACTCACTATAGGTTGGGGATCTCTCCTTTAGGGCACTGAAAATGTTGAGAAATGTTATTTATTGTCTCTCTCCAGATAATAACATACTCATAACTTTCTGTATTTTGAATAATCACCTGTTCCCAAATGCATTTAGCTTAATATATTCTCTCTCCCTGAAGAGATTTCTTCAGCGTTTCACTGACCCTCTGGCCAAGGAAGAAGAGAATGTTGGCATAGACCTCACTGAACCACTGTACATGCAACGACTCGGGGAGGTAATCAGAGGTTCTTACCTGTACATTCAAGTTATATGTGGGGTTTTTTCTTTCTGCATCCCCCAAGTTATGTATTTTAAAATAATAAAATTAGTAAAATATAACTTGTTCATTTTATCTTACAGATTAATGTTATTGGAGAGCCATTTTTAAATGTAAACTGTGAACACATAAAATCATTTGACAAAAATTTGTACAGACAGCTCGTCTCCTATCCGCAGGTAAAAATTTGTCTTTGATGAATGTCAGTAACTATGTAGAGGGAATGTTTCTGGATAGCAAAATTTCCTTGGAAACAGAATATACACAAACACTATTTTAAGAAAACCATGTTTTATCTCCTTTAAGATGAACGTTTTTTTCACACTTTAATGTTTCAGTGATTGGGATGTATATTATTATCAATGGCATGTTGTAGTTTAATTGGCCTAGTTTCTCATATAAAATAATGGTGAATCTTACAAGTGATAGCTTCTTGGGTTTCATGAAGTAAGTTATTTTAAGGGCATTACACACTTCCTGCCATCATTAGCAGAATATATTAGCTATGTTATAATTTTTTTCTTCTAGACCTGAGATCAGTTTTTATTAATTAAATATCAGCTATATTGACTCTGGGTATAGGCTTTGAAGGCAGACTTGGTTTTTGAATCTTGGCTTTGCTGCTTACTAGCTGCATAACCTTGGTTAAGTTCCTTAGCCTGCCCAAAGCTGTTTCCTCATTTGTAAAATGAAATCCATATGTTAATAAATTTGAATAAAATAAGTATGATTGAATTTATTTTGGTATCATTTCATTATGGATGAAAAATAAGAATGAAAGTGTGAGTTTAAAATCCTTTTCCTTACTAATTGAAAGCAAAAAATATGCCAGTACCATACAGCAGGAAGGCACATTCATGTATATTCCCATACTTAACCCAAATTAGAATGTATAGTGGTGCCTGTTTGAAAATAGTGTATGTGTATAATTCTGTGGGGTAATGCTATGGGCGTATGCCATGTTACTTTGTTTTTTTTTTGTTGTTTTTTTTTTGAGACAGAGTCTTGCTTTGTTGCCCAGGCTAGAGTGAGTGCCGTGGCGTCAGCCTAGCTCACAGCAACCTCAAACTCCTGGGCTCAAGCGATCCTCCTGCCTCAGCCTCCCGAGTAGCTGGGACTACAGGCATTCGCCACCATGCCCGCTAATTTTGTATATATATTAGTTGGCCAATAGTTTCTTCTTCTATTTATAGTAGAGATGGGTCTCGCTCTTGCTCAGGCTGGTTTTGAACTCCTGACCTCGAGCAATCCGCCCACCTCGCTCCCAGAGAGCTAGGATTACAGGCGTGAGCCACCGCGCCCGGCCTACTTTGTTTTTATACTTTGCTGATATGAAGTGGTTTATTATATAGATAGGGATTTTTTTTTTTTTTTTTGAGGCAGAATCTCACTCTGTTGCCCAGGCTAGAGTGCTGTGGCGTCAGCCTAGCTCACAGCAACCTCAAACTCCTCCGTTCAAGTGATCCTTCTGCCTCAGCCTCCCGAGTAGCTGGAACTACGGGCACGCACCACCATGCCTGACTAATTTTTTTTCTATGTATTTTTAGTTGACCAGATTAATTTCTTTCTATTTTAGTAGAGAGGGGTCTCGTCCTTGCTCAGGCTGCTTTTGAACTCCTGAGTTTGAGTAAGCCCCATGCCGGCCGAAATGCTTTATTATATTAACTCAAAGATAGAATACAAACATAGCTTGGCATCTTTATATTCATTTTAACAGGAAGTTATCCCAACTTTTGATATGGCTGTCAATGAAATCTTCTTTGAGCATTATCCTGACTCAATTTTAGAACATCAGATTCAAGTAAGACCATTTAATGCATTGAAGACAAAGAATATGAGAAACCTAAATCCAGAATAATGTATTAATGTATTCCTCTCATATGAAGATAATGCCTTACATTAGAATAAATAAACTTTGTTTCATAAAGGAACTTTAAAAGAATTGGTTGTGGTGGAGGTGGTGATGGATTATAATTTAACAAAATAATACAGATTGGGCAACTGCATACTTATGAACTCCATACCTTTTTTTTTTTTTTATTTCGGCATATTATAGGGGTACAGATTTTAAAGTTTCAATAAATGCCCTTTCCCCCCTCCCCCCACAAGTCTGAGTCTCCAGCATGACCATCCCCCAATGGTGCACATATCACTCGCTATGTCCCATACCTTTTTGATTTAACTGAAATGTCGTATAAAAGATATGTAACTTAATGATCCTCTACCTTAAGATGAACTTACCCAAATGTAATGTGTCTACAATTATTTATTAGGTAGGCATTTTCGTAGAGTTGCTGTAGAAATAAATATAAAATATGATCCGTGCCCTTGAGCTTAAGAAAGAAACCTGGTTTGGAAATAAAAGATAGGCAGGCCGGCGCGGGTGGTGCTCATGCCTGTAATCCTAGCACTCTGAGGCCGAGGCGGCGGATTGCTGGAGTCAGGAGTTCGAACCAGCCTGAGCAAGAGCGAGACCCCGTCTCTACTATAAATAAAAGAAATTATTGGCCAACTGATATATATATAAAAAAAAAATTAGCCGGGCTGGTGGCGCATGCCTGTAGTCCCAGCTACTCGGAGCCTGAGGCATGAGGCATCGAGCCCAGGAGTTTGAGGTTGCTGTGAGCTAGGCTGGCGCCACGGCACTCACTCTAGCCTGGACAACAAAGTGTGACTCTGTCTCAAAAAAAAAAAAAAAAAAAAATCTGTTAAAAATTGTCCGGGCACGGTGGCTCAATCCTGTATTCCCAGCGCTTTTGGAGGCTGAGACGGGAGGATCATTTGAGTCTAGGAGATGGAGGCTACAGTGAGCCATAATCGTGCCACTGTACTCCAGCCTGGGCAACAGAGTGAGACCCTGTCTCTAAAAAAAGAAAAAAAATTAATAAATGCCTCTGTAGATAAATATGTTAAAGGCACGGAAAAATGTAGGATGTAGCCAGTAAATATGAACAAGTGTTTGACTTCACTATTTACTGAAGAAGTGTAGTTCTTTCCTCTTGTGAAACTGGCTCCTGACCGCATTTCTGTGATGGGGAGGTTCTGGTGTGGACACTGGAGGAGGTAGAGGCCTATTTGGTTGGAGTAGTCAACTGATTTCAAAAGTTACCCAGTTGCATTTGAAAGTAAAAGAAGGATCAGTAGGGAGGAAGGCAAGGAAGATCTGTAAGTAGGTGGAAGGAAGACAGGATCAGATTCTAAAGGCCTCGTGCATCAGCTGTGATGCTGGCAGGCTGGGGTGAGCTTCAACGCCAGCAGTGGCCAATCACAGGCTGTGTTTTGCTGATTACCCAGAACACGGTAACTGGTTTGAAACCAGCAGCAAAAACTAATTGGGGGCAGTATGATCTTCAGCGGAGAAAAGTTAAGTCGGGAAAGGTCCAAATTCCAGAGGAAGCATGATTGAGAGTGAAAAGTAAGGCTGCATAAGGGCTGCCTGTGTGGCTGGTGACGTCGCCCAGGGTGTGCAGTGCTTTTCCTCGCCCAGGGGCTGTCTCATTAGGCTTGAGGTACACCGACTCGCTCAGTCCTCAGCAACGAGGGAGGTCCTTTCACTTCCCCGTCCTGCAGAGGAGGCGAAATGAGGCACAGAGAGCCTAAAGGCATCTGAAGATCACACTATAAGTCCAAGCCATCTGGCTTTTCACATGAGACAGCAGGTTACAGGTGGCTTGCCCATCAAGGTGGGAGCTGCGGACAGGATATGCAAAAGCACTGAGCTTCTCCTCTGATGCCCAGAAGTGGAGCAACCGAGGGGTGGGAGGAGATAGTGGACTGACCCCAGCTGTCCCGGCACCGCTGCACTGTGGGCCAGGGGGCTGGCTTGCCAGCAGGCCCAGACCTGGCTGGGCTGAGGCGTGGCTGCTGGACGAGCTAACCTCACTCTCCCCTCGCAGACATCGACCAGCTCATCACCATCAGCGGCATGGTAATCAGGACGTCCCAGCTGATCCCCGAGATGCAGGAGGCCTTCTTCCAGTGCCAGGTGTGTGCCCACACCACCCGCGTGGAGATCGACCGCGGCCGTATTGCCGAGCCCAGCGCGTGCGGGCACTGCCACACCACCCACAGCATGGCACTCATCCACAACCGCTCCCTCTTCTCCGACAAGCAGATGGTACGCCTGGGCTTGGAGGGCTCCCGGGACACCACGCTCACCTTTGTCCTTCCCGTGTCTGAGTCCTCAGACAGCCAGTGTCACTCGTCACTCTGAGGCCCTAGCCGTGCTTCCTAAATGGCAGCCAGCTGCCTCCACCCTTCTCTGAGGGTGCAGGTTTTGTTAGTGGGCTGTGGGCTGGACCACACTGAGGCCCAGCCCAGGGCCAGTGTCGCTGGCCGTTGCCAGTGAGCACCGCGTCTTCGGGGCCTGAGATTCTTCCTGGGAGAAAACACCTTTCCGACTACAAACATCCTAAAAGTTTCAGGTCATTTATAAGTTAACAGATCAAATTAGCCTACTTTTTGATTTATTCAATGAAATTTAACATGAGATATTTTTATGGGAAATATTTGAGATTTTATAATGTTTAAGGTAAGTTAGATACGAATATATAAAACATTTGAGATCAGAATTACTTGGGCATTTTGCAACTGTTCCACTGGTAAAGAATGGATAGAGAAAATTTTCTAAAGTTTTTATCATAAATTTTATTGTCTTGTAAGTTTGACCTATTATATGTCTTTAATCATGAAAATTTTAAGATGAAGTTATTAAAATGACATGTAGAAATAAGTGAGGGAGAGGCAGAAAAATCATTCATTTACTATGTAAAAGTTTATGTAGGAGGACAGGATTTAAGTTTTTTGAGACAGTCTTACTTTGTTTCCAGGCTGGAGTGCAGTAGCACGGATCATAGCTCAGTGCAGCCTCAAACTCCTGGGCTCAAGCAATCCTCCTGCCTCAGTTTTCCCAAGTAGCTAGAACTACAGGTGCATACCACCATGCCTAGCTAATTTTTTATTTATTTTTAGAGATAGGATCTTGTCATGTTGTCCAGGTTGGCCCCTCCAATTCCTGGCCTCGAGCAGTAATGCTCCTGCCTTCACCTCCCAAAGTTTTGGGATTACAGACATGAGCCTGGCCCAAGATTTAAGTTTCTTATGTTGCAAAGATTTCTTATGTTGCAAGATTTAAGTTTCTTATGTTGCAAAATTCCAACAATTTCTTTAATATTATGTGGAGCATTAAGCAGTGCTAAGAGCTGGAGATAGAAAAGCAGAGGCCCTACTGCACAGGAGCTTGTGGTCTAGTATTCTCAGAATTCTGGCTTAGAATAAAAGCCCCAGCATCCTTAGACTTAATGGAAAGGCCACCTGGTTTGAAAGGCCTTGCCTGACCTTGCTCTATGGAAAGCATCTCCTCTACTCCCTCCACCACAGGTCCCCAAACTCCCTACCCTACTGTGTTTCTGTCTGCCACATTTGTCATTATCAGATCTTACTGTACATTTGTCTGTACTCTCTGTGCCCCCATTCTGTGAGGTGGGGGAACTTTATTCACTGTGGAGGGCCAGAACACCTAGAACAGGGTTCAGCATGTGGCAGGTGTTTGGCAGACACCTGTTAGGTGAGTGGACATAGACAGGGCCACTCAGGTATTTGTGAGGTGCACCAAAGTACCTAACAGCAAACCTTAAAAGTGTGCACTACTTCACCCAGGAAATCTAGAAGTAACTTCTAGAAATAATTAAACATGGACGAACATTTATGTGGAGAGATGCACTACAGTCTTACATGGCAGAAACCAGAATCACGTAAATTACCTCCTATCCCCAAGATGGGAATGTTAAATAAACAGCATCCTCACAAAACCTGTGTCCACATCTATTAAAAGCAGATTTTTCAGGCCAAGGCAGGAGGATCACTTGAGGCCAGGAGTTTGAGACCAGCTTGAGCAAGAACAAGACTCCATCTCTACAAAAAGTAGAAAAAGTAGTGGGGCATGGTGATGCATACCTGTAGTCTGAGCTACTTGGGAGGCTGAGGCAGGATTGCTCAAGCCCAGGAGTTTGGGGTTGCAGTGATCTATGATGATGCCACTGCACTCTAGCCTGGGTGATAGAGGAAGACCCTGTCTCTAAAAAAATTAAAAAACAGATTTTTCTAAAAAGAATTGAAGCTGCTACGAATGAGATACGGTTATCTCTAAGCCGCACAGAGACGTGCCAGTGTGGTCTCCATGTGCTCTCCACGTCCCATGATTTCTCTGTTCTTTCAGATCAAACTGCAAGAGTCTCCCGAGGACATGCCTGCAGGGCAGACACCTCACACTGTTGTTCTTTTTGCTCATAATGATCTTGTTGACAAGGTTCAACCTGGGGACAGAGTGAACGTTACAGGTAAGAATATAGGGTTTGCTTTTGATGCCACTCTTCAGTGAATTCTTAGACTCATTTGTAAGTTTGTTGGAAACAAGGCTAGTTCTGGCTCCAGTTTCCAGTGCAGGCCTTTGTGACCGTGGGGTATAGCCCTGCTTCACCATCACCTTTCTGCCTAGTCCCATGGCCCAGCAATATGAGATCTTCCAGTTCTCCCGGAACTTGGGTTTTGGAACTCAAGGTCCTTGTGGGCACTTGCCTCTTGCTGTCTCAGTATCGCAGAGCTGCGTGTGTATCCCAGAAAAATAGGCTGGTGCCATGAGAGAGCAGCTTCAGACAAGGCTGTATTGGTAAGATTTGAGTTATGCCAGCAACTCAAGCTCAGGGCGGTATCACTAACTCTGTAGTTTTAAATCTTCTACTTGTTTCCCAGAGGTTCAGCTAAGGGTTAGCATTTGTTCGCTAGAGAGGAGATTGGATTAGAGCACCTGTTTCCATGCTCAGAAGCCGAGGGGGGGGGTAGCTGTAGCTCAGGTCCTACGCTGAGGCATGGTGCCAGGATCCAGAGCCTCTCTTCCTGCAGAGGTGCCCCTTCCACGCCCTGCATGAGTATGGCAGTCTGCTCACAATGCTCTGGGCTACAGGATATCGTCACTTGGGGGGGAGGGGCGGTGATGGCAGCATTGCTCTTCATGGACAGGTGGGGTGGGGACTGACCCAGGGAGGGCCTGGGCACACAGCGCCATGGACAGTTCTCATCCCGTTCCTTCCCCAAGGTGAAGTCTCCCGCTTGTCATCAGCAGTATTAAGTTGTAAAAGTGCATGTAGTAATTGAAAATTTGAAAGAAAGTAGTCTTTGGTTAACAAGATGCTCAGTCTCAGTTCTGCCAACCCGAAACCTTTGATAAAGTATTTAATTCGATATTTTAGTCTCAACTGCAGAGCAGTGTTAACGTGATGATTCATGTTAAAGTATTTGGGGAAGGGGGCTGTGGAAAAAGCGACATAGCTATAAAGTAAGCTTCCTCAGCTGCCCTGTGAGACAAATCATGCCAGGCCACTTTCTGCATGGTCACCCATCCTTAGTATGTCTTGGAGTCAAGAACAATCTAGCATGTATTCTAAGAATGTTAGGTGTAAACTGGTTTTTACAGTTTGTTTTTTTGTGGGTTTTTTTGTTTTTACGAGACAGAGTCTCTCTCTATCGCCCCAACTAGAACGCAGTGGCGTCAGCCTAGCTCACAGCAACCTCAGTCCCCTGGGCTCAAGGAATCCTGCTGCCTCAGCCTCCCGAGTAACTGGGACTAGAGGTACACACCACACACCAGGCTATTTTATTTTTTAATTTTCCATAGAGATGGGGTCTTGCTATGTTGCTCAGGTTGGTCTTGAATTCCTAGGCTCAAGCAGTCCTCCTGCCTCGGCCTCCCAAAGTGCTGGGATTAAGGATGTGAGCCGCTGCACCCAGCCAATTTTTATGTTTTTAGCAAGAATTACATTGACCTGTTAAACAAAAGGACAATGGTCTGTGCCATTGTATTGTGACAGATATAAGGGAAGGGTTGGGCTTTTTCATCACAAAGCAGCAGGAAATGGAATTGACTGTTGAAGGCTTATAGTTTGAAATCCAAAAGAGATAGATGTCAGACCTCGTATGGGAATTCTAGGAGAATGGGTGAGTTGGTGTGCTTGAAGTGTTGGTCATTCATCTACTTCTTTTCATGTCCTTGAATTACATTCTTTAGAAAATAGGGCAGGGTGCAGCCATTTGCTCAGAAACACCTCTATTATTAACAGAAAATAGTCATTTTTTTCCTTCACCTTCTATGCAGTAGACTATAACTGTCTATGAAATAACTTATGAGTGAATTTTTTTTTTAGGGATTTCCTTTCTTTCCAAGTTTTTGATACGGGATCTTAGCATTTTGTTCTAGTCAAATAAGTGCTAAGCAGATTCTGTACACTCAGAGAAATGAAACTATTGCTTGTCGAACATAGCCATGAGCGGGGCATTGAGCTTAAGAGCAGAGTAATGTCATTTCACCCTCGAAACGACTGTGTGTAGTGCAGTCACACACAGCTGCCCGGGGTCATTACAAACAAGTGGTCACAGGCATGTCTTTCCAGGTCTGCTGTTTGCAGCAACCTGGGTGCTTCTACTTGCCCCTCTCCTGCCACCCTCTTTCTGCTTCCTCGGTGGGCAGCACCCACCTCCACAGGGCCAGCGGCAGCTGGAGCACCTCCGTCTCCTGAGTGCTGCCTGCTGTCCCTGGGCTGCTGAGCCCCTTGGGCGGGTCGGGAAGGTAAAAGCGTGCCGTGCTTATGCCCTCAGGCATCTATCGGGCAGTGCCTATTCGAGTCAATCCCAGAGTGAGTAACGTGAAGTCCGTCTATAAAACCCACATTGATGTCATTCATTACCGGAAAACGGATGCAAAACGTTTGCATGGCCTTGATGAAGAAGCAGAACAGAAACTTTTTTCAGAGAAACGTGTGGAATTGCTTAAGGAACTTTCCAGGAAGCCAGACATTTATGAGAGACTTGCTTCAGCCTTGGCGCCAAGCATTTATGAACATGAAGATATAAAGAAGGTAATGGTGGGCCTTCGACTGGGACTTGGGGTTTCATTGTCTGGGACCAAATTGTATAGACGTCCACCCTCCCCATAAAGGATGTGATCTGTGGCCTGTTGGATCAAGCAAACTGTTGGCACCCTGGCTTGGTCACTGGTTGAGGAAAATCAGAGCATTGTTATCTGTATCCTCATCTCTGCACTGAACTTAACGTTTTTAAACATGAGAGGCCACGCAGGTTCAGAATAGGGATTTACATGGCCTGGGTGCTGGCATGATGGCGTGTGCTCTTGTATATATAAATTAGCCAGTGATGGCTTAGAGCGTATCAAAGCACTTTCTCGCACACCTTTTTTACCTTCCTGCATTTCCTAATTCTAGTTCTTTGTTTATAGAATGGAACTGCACCTCCAAAGTTTATTTCTCAGTTCATCTATGGTAAGTGAATGTTTAGATGTGCTTTGTGTGTTTGTCCAGGGAATCTTGCTTCAGCTCTTCGGCGGAACAAGGAAGGATTTTAGTCACACGGGAAGGGGGAAATTCCGTGCTGAGATCAACATTCTGCTGTGTGGCGACCCGGGCACCAGCAAGTCCCAGCTGCTGCAGTATGTGTACAACCTGGTGCCCAGGGGCCAGTACACTTCTGGGAAGGGCTCCAGCGCAGTCGGCCTCACTGCGTATGTGATGAAAGACCCTGAGACAAGGCAGCTGGTCCTGCAGACAGGGGCCCTTGTCCTGAGTGACAACGGTATCTGCTGTATCGATGAGTTCGACAAGATGAATGAAAGCACGAGGTCTGTGCTGCACGAAGTGATGGAGCAGCAGACTCTGTCCATCGCAAAGGTGAGTGGCGCTCTCTGTGGGCACAGGCGCGCTTGCAACGTGCGGGTCCTTGAAATGCAGTGTCTCTGAAACTGTGCTGTTGCCCTGGTTCCAATGTGGGGGAACACGTAAGCACTTCTCATATCAAATTTCAGCTCAGTGTCTAAGTATTTTCTATAAGGTAGCCTCTTTTGTCTTTTCTGCTATACTAACCCACTAACATGGTATTCATAGGAGTGGAATTTGTCCTAACGCTCATTCAAGGGCTTTGCTTTCTTTAAAAAGGCGTGGAACAGCGTGCACTCGGCTGTCTTTGGCATGACTCCGAGGACAGGGCTGTCCGTGTGGAGCTGCAGCAGTGAAGACGACATGGCCGTTAGGCACCAGCCATGTAACTCCATGTAGCAGAGTGGTGTGGGCTGAGTGCGAGTTCAGGCAAAGAGGACTCCTGTTCCTGCCAGTGGTGGGGACAGGTTTCTAACTGCGCTCTTTCCTCTGACAGGCCGGGATCATCTGTCAGCTCAATGCACGCACCTCTGTCCTGGCAGCAGCTAATCCCATCGAGTCTCAGTGGAACCCTAAAAAAACTACCATTGAAAACATCCAGCTGCCTCATACATTATTATCAAGGTATTAAAGTATTTTTATAAAACATGTTTTTATCTTGCTCATTTGTAGACTTTACAGGGTGAGATTGAGAAGGAAATACTAAGATTAGCATTGCTTGTGTAAACTCTTCACTCTAATGCAAAGTGTTTTGAATTTGGTTAGTCACAGGTTTTCACAGCAAGGATTGCGTGTTTGCTGCCCAACTCTGGGTAGCATCTTAACAATGGTTTATTTTTTGAAGCAATTGGGACATTCCACCCCAAAATCTTTTTCAGGTAGCCGTCACTCACTGCTCATATTTCAGTCTTAAAGCTACCGTTGAGAATCAACACAGCAGAACCATACGACATTCTGAAAAGCTAAATTTGCTATAAAGCACAGTCCTGTAATCCTCACTTTTTTTCAGCCACACTACTTCAAATGTTGGATGTGTTTCATATGTGGAATTTAGATTTTAATCATTTGACTTTTTTTACAAAAATAGTTTTTTTCCCCAAAGCAGTTCAATGTATTTCATTCAAATCTTCCAGTCTTCAAAATTGTAATAACATTTCCCCAAAGGAAATGTCATTTCTTTGACTGAGCTGTCTGGTCTGCAGCCATTTCCTGGGTGGCCCCAAGTGCTAAGGGCAGTACAGGGTGCGCAGACCACCTCGAAGGCCCTCTCGGCAGCACAGAAGGAAGACACCTGTTCCCCAAGGTGCTTCAGGAGGCACAGGTTCACTGCACGTGTCTGCAGTCCTCGGGCAATGTTTGTGAGTGTGTTGGTGCCCCAACGAGGAAAACTTAACTGTTTCTTTTCTCAGGTTTGATTTGATCTTCCTCATGCTGGACCCTCAGGACGAAGCCTACGACAGGCGTCTGGCTCACCACCTGGTGGCACTGTACTACCAGAGCGAGGAGCAGGCGGAGGAGGCGCTGCTGGACATGGCAGTGCTGAAGGACTACATTGCCTATGCACACAGCACCGCCGTGCCCCGGCTGAGCGAGGAGGCCGGCCAGGCTCTCATCGAGGTGACCGGGCCGGGAGAGGGCTTTACTGAGCCTGTAGGCAAACATTCTGAGTGCATGAGGGGATCCTTTATGTGCCTCATCAAATGGGTCCCTGGCCAGGGGCGTAGACCAGGATCAGTGCCTAAGTACCTTCTCAGACTGGCCCCGATTCGCCCTCTGCACTAATTGCAGTAGGCTTCTTTCCCCACATGCCACTCCCCTTCCTCTGCCCCACCGTGTCAGGGCTACCCCAGATACCACCCTCTCCAGGAAGTCTTCCACACACTCCCCAGTCAGCATACTTCCAGCCATTGTCGTACACTGAACGTTGAAGTCCTCTCCCAGGACTTCTGTGTTCTGTGTGTGGTCTCTGCCACTTAGTGACCTCCAAGGCCTGGGACCAGATCTGACCTTTGGATTTTCAGCGCCTCCACACGGCAACCAGGCAGGAGTTCAGTTTATGTAATGGAACCCTAACCTCAAAGTTCAACCATGAAACTAAAGTTAGTGTCGCCAATGGGTTTTGCTTTTGTTTTTCTGCCTACGCTAGGCTTATGTAGACATGAGGAAGATCGGCAGTAGCCGAGGGATGGTTTCTGCATACCCTCGACAGCTAGAATCGTTGATCCGCTTAGCAGAAGCCCATGCTAAAGTGCGATTCTCAAACAAAGTTGAAGCCATTGATGTGGAAGAGGCCAAACGCCTCCACCGGGAGGCTCTGAAGCAGTCTGCCACAGACCCGCGCACCGGCCTCGTGGACATATCTATTCTCACTACAGGTCGGTGGTTTTCATTGAACAGAAAAGCTTTTGAATATTATTTAAATATGTAAGTAGTTGATAAGTCAGATTTAAACTAACGGTTAAATCATTTGAAGCAGAATTTCTTAACCTTTTTTGGATCAGGACCCCTTTCAGAATCTGATGAAAGCTGCCCCTCAGTCTTCTGATAAAAATATACACTAAATACAGAGTTTTGAATATAATTTAATTGTTTTGTTTTTTGGGTTTTTTTTTTTGGTTTAAATTTATGTTTCCCACTCGCCAAGCTGGTCTATAATATATAGTTTTAAGGAGATTCTATTTCCTTTTCTGCTGTCTAGGCAGTGGTGTTAGCCCATTCATAGTTCATTTCTTAATAAATAGTGACTGCTTGCTGTTCAGAGTATGTGTAGTGCCAGAGGAAATCAACAGTTCCTGACTCACAGAAAATTTGAAACAGCAGAGAACTGAAAACTCATTGTGCTCTGTGCCCTGACGCTCAGCCACGTCCCCTTACCTTTCTTAGCAATGCTATTAAATGAGTATTTATAGGAATTTGAAATATTTCACTTCCTAATAGCAGAAATACTTTCCTTGGTTTCTTTTAAAATCAGGGATGAGTGCCACTTCTCGTAAACGGAAAGAAGAATTAGCTGAAGCATTGAAAAAACTTATTTTATCTAAAGGCAAAACACCAGCTCTAAAATACCAGCAGCTTTTTGAAGATATTCGGGGACAATCTGACATAGTAAGTGTTCATATGTATTTTTTGTTTAATAGAGTTTTTCTCTTTTCCCTTAATACTGCTTTGGGGAGGCGTTCTCATTTTTTTCTTTCTTTATTTATTGTTTAATAAATGTAGATAAGAATAAAGACGGAAAGATTATCCCTAGGCCCATCATCAAGAAATGGTCACAGTCAAGATTTTATTACACCTGTACAGAGTTCTTTCGTGTATAAATTTGTTTTAAGGAAGAAATATGTGGGTCCCCTTTTGTGAATAAGTAAGATGGGTTGTTCAGTGAAAAGAACTATGGGGGCCACACCAGCTCTTTGCCTGCTTTTGTAACTCCTTTCATTTAACGTCACCAAGAGCAGTTACAACAGAGACCATACAGATGCCAGGCCTACAGTACATACCATCTTTACGGGAAACGTTTGGCACCCTGATTTAGAGAATTAAGAAATGTGTGCAATCGTTAAAAAGAGACTGAGTGGTACATTAACATTAAAATTATTGTGTCTCCAACAATTAAGGGAAGACTTGACATGTAAATTGTTTATTTTTCTTCTCTTCTCCAAAGGCAATTACCAAAGACATGTTTGAAGAAGCCCTGCATGCCTTGGCTGATGCCGACTTCTTAACAGTGACTGGGAAGACTGTCCGCTTGCTCTGAAGCGCTGTGAGCAGTGCTCCTCTGTGCCCTGCCCATCGCCCTTGCTCACGCGTGTGCGGCCTGGAGGCCAAGCAGCAGCCAGCACTACCATTGGTGCAGATAGATTCTTAAAGTCATTGCTGAGCTACATAAAAATTTTCTAACCTAGGTTCCATTTTTGGAGTAAAGTGTGTGTGCTTTCATTTTTTTACATTTTAAGTAAAAATAGTATGCCAATTTACAAGCATACAATAGAGATTATTTTCTTCAAGTGCCATTTTTTAGCAGCAGGGCTTTTCTGTATGTATGTATAGATAGCAGCATTTCAGTCTATCTTGAAGAGGGCGGTCTGGATCGTGGCTTTGTGCCAGACTTTCTAGTGGCAGTCATCTACGTGCTTGAGGGTTTTGTGACAGGAGAGCAGACATAGTCGGGGAATATCACCAAGTAATTAAGGGCTAACCAGAGAGCCTCTCCCTTTTACAGCACACAAGTTTAATTCCTTGTAGAGGTTTTTTTCTCATGGCTGCTATTAAATTAGGAATGGGTGGTTGGAAGTGATTAAGTTCTAGGCTAACGTCTTCCACTTGATCCTATATGTAAAACTTTTCCTAAATAAATGATAGAATACTATTTGGTTATCTGGCATTATTTTTCATTAAAAAAGCTTTAGGGCTGGGCACAGTGGCTCACGCCTGTAATCCTAGCATTCTGGGAGGCCAAGGCGGGGGGATTGCTCGAGCTCAGGAGTTTGAAACTAGCCTGAGCAAGAGTGAGACCCCATCTATACTATAAATAGAAATTAATTGGCCAACTAATATATCTAGAAAAAATTAGGCGGGCATGGTGGCGCATGCCTGTAGTCCCAGCTACTCAGGAGGCTGAGGCAGCAGGATTGCTTGAGACCAGGAGTTTGAGGTTGCCGTGAGCGAGGCTGATGCCATAGCACTCACTATAGCCTGGACAACAAAGCGAGACTCTGTCTCAAAAAAAAAAAGAAAAAAGCTTTAGTATACATTATAACATTCATAGAAATGGTAAGTATTTTACAGATCATAAAAGAAATTCACCATAATATAATGAATTACATTTTATTCAAATATTAATTTAATCCTAGTAATCATTCTTATAGCTGGTCTCAAACTCTTGAACTAAAGGGATCCTTCCACCTTTGTCCTCCCAGAGCGCTAGGAATATAGGCGTGAGTCGCCATGTTATAACTTAGAATTAACACTCATTAATAAAGTATCCATAGAAAAGGATAGATCTAATCAGATGTATAAATAGTATTAGTGATGGGATGATGTCCACTGAAAGAGGCATCAGTTGGGTCGGGTGTCCCCACAAGGGTGCATGGCTGACTGCCCACCTGGTGGCTTTGCTGACATAGCTTCTGTGAGCCCCTGTGCAGCAGATACTCTTGTGTGTCACCCTCACAGCCACCCTGGAGGATCAGGTCTCCCTTCACAGATGGAGTAGCAAGAAGGCTCATACTTGCCTAAAGTCCCAAAGCAGGAGATGAAGCTGGAATTAACACAGCTCAGTTTTCTGACTTTAGAACTTAACTATACCTATACCACTTCATGCTTTAACTCATGTTTTAACTCTGTTCATTGCTTTTAGACACACTGCTTAGGCTTCCAAAGAAAGTCATGCAGAGAAGGCTCCCTGTGTCTGTCACATGGTGGGTATACCAGTGAGCAGAGAAATTGGAATCTGTTGACTATTCTCACCACCACATGATTTTCAGACTGGAAATGTTTTATTCACAGCTCTGCAGTTGCTCAAAGATAACTGGTCTTCAGACTGTCTGAACACAGTATCATCATGGAAGTTATACACTATGTAGGCTTTTGTGGTCAATGGCACCTAAAGGTGATAGGAAAGCATGTCCTGCAGCCACAGTGAGAAGTAGCTCTCAGTAAGGTCACAAAAAGAGTCTGAACTTTTTAAATTGTAAACTTTCGTTAAAGAAAAAAACCAAAGGCATTGCTGCCCCTAGGTGGCTAATAATCAAGGTGTCATAAAGTTCAAGAGCTGATTCCCTGTGGAGTTGTATTAATAGAATTGATGCCGGAGATGGGCTCTTTCTCCTGATTAAATTCTTAGTCTGTAATAATGGCTACAAGATTGGAAGTTACACCTGAAATTACATGACGTCTAGGTACAGTGCCTGAAGCTGCCTGGGATACTGTGCCCTCCAATATAGATGCTCCTTGACTTACAATAGGGTTATGTCCCAATAAACCCACTATAAATTAAAAATATCCTAAGTCAAAGATGCATTTAATTCACCTAATCTACCAAATACCATAGGTTAACCTAGCCTATCTTAAAAGTGCTTAGAACATTTATATTAACTGTAGAGTTGGGCAAAACCATCTAACACAAAGCCTATTTTATAATAAAGTATTATATTTCATAGGCCACATACTGCTAAGCCCAGATCAAACTTCAAAGAATATTGAAATTGCAAGTTTTGCACCATCCTAAAGTTGAAAAATCATACGTTAAACCGTCATTAAGTTGGGGACCATCTGTACTGTTTGACTAATGTTTTCCTCCTGAAGTTTATACATTAGTAAAATTTTTCTAAACCTAGGTAATTCAATACCATGATGAAAGTATGTACAGCTGCAGATGGAATGTGTGTGAGATATATATATATATATATAGAGAGAGAGAGAGAGAGCGCTTTGTGATATATATATATATAGCTTTGTTTTAGGGGGATTTTAGATGAATGAAAGTAATGTGGCTGTCTGGTTGCTGGTGGGTTCCATCACAGTGAATCTGCTTATGCAATTCAGCAAACTTCTTGTTTACATCTGTACCCTGCCTCCCGGGTACAGGTGTCTTGAAAGCAGGGGTGGTTGTATTGCACCAGTGCAGTGCCTGGTGCTGGATGGTTGTTACTCATTTGCAGAGAATTAACTACTGTGAAGGGACAGTGATGGTATAAGAGTTGTCAGAGCGTGTTCTTGAAATCGATGCCATATCAGGCTAATCCTGACAAATGCTCCCTTAGAGAGTGTGTCCGGTGATTTCATGGAGCACACCCTACCCTCAGGTGTGCTGGAGCAGAAAAGAGCATCTATCTTTGTAAGGTACAAAAGAGCATCTATCTTTGTATGGTACACGGGTTGAGAGTACCCAAGCAAAGCTGTCCAGGTTCAAATCCTAACTCGCCACTCACTCAAAATGTGCAGTGTTTTGGACAGTGACTGGCACATGGTAAGTGCTCAATAAATATTAGCTATGGTTACTGTGAACAGAAATAAGGAAATTGTGGCATTTTCTTACTAGGACAATACAATTTCAGCTTAATTCCCAGGATTGTATTTTTTTTTTTTTTTTTTTTGAGACAGAGTCTCACTTTGTTGCCCAGGCTAGAGTGAGTGCCGTGGCGTCAGCCTAGCTCACAGCAACCTCAAACTCCTGGGCTCAAGCAATCCTCCTGCCTCAGCCTCCCAAGTAGCTGGGACTACAGGCATATGCCACCATGCCCAGCTAATTTTTTCTATATATGTATTAGTTGGCCAATTAATTTCTTTCTATTTATAGTAGAGACGGGGTCTCGCTCTTGCTCAGGCTGGTTTCGAACTCCTGACCTCGAGCAATCCGCCCGCCTCGGCCTCCCAGAGTGCTAGGATTACAGGCGTGAGCCACCGCACCCGGCCTGTATTTTTTTTAAAACACCACATTATGATGTAATTTCATTTGAATTTTTCCCTCTGATACTGACCCTGGACGATACCCACACTTGCTAGTTAGAATGGCCTTCTTTTTTTTTTTTTTATTTACACAATATACACACACCATTCTCTTTCAGTATGCATGATACCGGTAGATATAACCAACTCCATCCAAAGGAGTCACAAATTAGCAAGAGGAATGAAAAACTCAGAATTTAATGACTTTCAGCACATAAGTTAGGAAATACTTCAAGAAAGTGCTATTACTTGTTAAATCTAAGATAATTTCTTAAATTCTTTTGCAATGCACTTTTTAAAACTTGTGTTTGAAGTAATTTCAGACTTACACAAAAGCTGCATGATTAAGTAATTTTCATATACTCCTTACTCAAATGTTTCTTTAATGCTAATATTTTATCAAATTTGCTTTTATCATTATCCATAAATTTTTTAAATACTTTGAGAGTAAGTTACAGACAGAATGCCCCTTTACATCTAAATACTTTTCTAAAAACAACATATACACTAAAAAGGATGATGTTACCTTACATAACCATGGAATAATTTCATAACATAATCAAAAAATTAATACTATTACCTGATCTATAGACATTCAGTGTTCACTAATTGTCTCAACGTTCTTTATAGCAAAAAATTAAAACATAAAAATATATATTTCTATTACAGGATCACAAGTTGCATAGTTTACATGTCTTTCGTCTCCTTCAATCTGGAACATTCCTCGGTCTTTTCTCATTGTTCACAACCTTGACATTTTTGTTTGTTTGTTTGTTTGTTTCCAGGAAGTAACAAATTTCAACCTTGACATTTTTTAAGTGTATAGGCCAGTTCTTTTGTAAAATGCATCTCCACTTGGGTTTGCCGAAGTCTCTGTGAGGGACTCCGGCACAGCCTTGGCACTCTACGGAAGTGAGGCTGCGTCCTCTCCCGGGCACCATGCCAGGGGGCACGTGGTGTTGGTTGTCCCTTTCTCACTTGGGTGGTGTCTGCCAGGTTTCTACATTGTGAATGAATTACTACTTTTTTCCTTTGTAATTAATAAGTATCTTTTATTTATTTATTTTGAGACAGAGTCTCACTCTGTTGCCCGGACTAGAGTGCCATGGCGTCAGCCTAGCTCATAGCAACCTCAAACTCCTGGGCTCAAGCGATCCTCCTGCCTCAGCCTCCCGAGTAGCTGGGACTACAGGCATGTGCCACCATGCCTGGCTAATTGTTTTTTTCTGTATCTTTTTAGCTGTCCAGATAATTACTTTCTATTTTTTTAGTAGAGACAGGGTCTCGCTCTTGCTCAGGCTGGTCTCAAACTCCTGAGCTCAAACAATCTGCCCGCACTCCAAGAGTGCTAGGATTACAGGCGTGAGCCACCACACTACAATCACTTCTTAACAGAGCCCTCTGTATGTGCTTGCTCTAAAGAATAAAAAAAACAACCACTATGTCCATCACTCTTCATTCCATTACTGTTAGCACTTATCACAGTCAGAAATTATTTTATATATTTATTTTAAAGTTTGCTATTTGTTTCCTTCCATTAGCATG